TATAGAAAATCTTATTGATATTATGTAACTATTTGAAAATAAATGATAATCTTAAAATAAAATTGTATCTCTTACAAATAAATATATATGAATTTTATTGTAAAACTGAATTGATGATTTTGACTTCTCATACCTCTTTAATTTATTTTATTGTTTTTTTACCGTTAATAAAACTCTAACTTAAAGTTTCATGATTCTATAGAAATTGAAAGCAATCGACAATTTATTCTTTCTATTTTTTTTTGTCTATACCAATTATTGAATTTACTGTCCCTGAGTCTTTAATGATACTTGATTGCTCCTACGCGATACGTAGGAAAAAAATATTAGTTATAATTACACCTATGAAAAAATATCTAAAATCTTTGCCTTTAACATAGTGTTGCCCACGGTTTTTGATAATATGAAAGGAAATAGATCAAATTGAAGAAGAACGCAAAATCAGTGAAGCAAAGAATATTCAATTACTCTACGTAGCAATACATATAAAACTCATAATAAGCAATACGCTTCATAATAGTTTATATTTGAAAAGAAAAAGAAGAATATGAGCGATAAAGAGCCATTACTAAAGAAACATAACAAATTACTTATTGACAATGACAATGAGAATGAAAACAAAAGGTATAATTTTTAAAAAAATATAATATTGATAAATACATTATGAATGTATCAATATTTATAGTTTTTCTGAGTGGCGTCGATATTTCAATCAGCAAAAGACTGATGCTAGGAATAAAAAGTTAAATGATGAGGTCAATCATACGAATAAAGATATTCCGGTCAGTGTTTTTCAATTGGTAAGTATATTCAAATATAATATATACTAAGTTGAAAGCATGTTTTTTTTTCTTTTTAATATATTTATTTCATCTGATAATAGTTTCGATTTGCTGATCGTATTGATACTCTTCTTTTAATTCTTGGTCTGTGTTTCATATTATTGCATGGAGTTTTAATTATTGTGAATGTAATTCTTTTTGGTCGAATCACGGGATTATTTGCCACTACATCGTTTGCTGTTGATTGTCATAATCAATATGAAAATTCAGTATCTACAATTATTAATAATACTGTATGTCCTTTTGGTATTGATCTTAATCCATTAAACTATGATCGATTACATAAGTAATTTATTGAAGAAATATTCTTATTTTGAATCTTTTGAAATTTCTCCGTTGTAGACTATGCCATTATGATAATAAAACTATGTCATCTATATTATCTCCATTAACACCTTTATTTCGAGAAAATATTATGCATCTAGTTTATTGGTTCTTCGGTAAGTCTAATGAATAGGTTGATTTAAATTTAAAAAAACAAACGATTTTTTATTTCTGTGTCAATGTAGGTTTAAGTATTCTTCAATTTCTATGTTGTTTTCCCGGATATTTCTGTTGGACAATTGCTACGAAACGACAAACATCTCGCATGAGTGTTTTACTCTTTCGATCACTTATTCAACGTGTAAGTTACAAATATTTTTTACATTCATAAAATACTTCACAGTTCATGATCATAAGTCGAAATTGAATTTAGTGTAAATCTACATTGTAAATGTTTTTATTTCTCTTGCTCCGTATTAAATATAAAACAAAATTAAGTGGGTCATTTTAGTCTCGATTTCTAATTTTCTTTTTTTTCAAAATATTTCTCTAATCAACAAACTAAGGACTCTAAAAACATCGTTAATATATCAATTAAATTATAATTTACGATAAAATAATCTTGTTATTTCTCTTTCGTTTTTTAGAACATGACATATTTGGATACAAATCAAACTACTCAATACAATTCAAAGCTTTTTACGTAAGTAAATATAATAACTTTATATCAAACAATTATCTATGATCAATTTTCTTTACAGTAATATTGAAAAGATCAAAAACGGGATAAATTTTGAATTCTTAATAACAATTGCAGTTATTCTAATCATGATTTTCAGTATAATCATATCTTTTATTCTCAATTGGAAATTATCTTTAATTATGTCTTGTACAATTCCAATTGTTGTTGGGAGTTCATTGATGTTTGCTAAGGTAGAAATTATTATTTAATTTATTAAAATATTTATCAATAATTACAGCTTATCACGAGAGAAACAGAAGAACAATTAAGTACATATTCAAAAGCTGGACAAATCGCTCAAGAAGTATTTAGTTCATTAAGAACTGTTCTTTCATTCAATGGAAGTAAATTACAACAAAAACAGTAAAGAAATAAACAAAGATTTCTAGATTATTATATTATTTATCTTTATCTAGATATGAAAAAGAATTAAAGTTAAACGAATGGTATACTATTCGTAAAGATGCTGCATTTGGTGCTTTTTCTGGTTGGTTATTTTTTATAAAATTTGCAGTTTATTCAATTGGTTTCACTTTTGGTTCCATTCTTATGTCTTATGGAAATCATCGTACACTAACCATTACTGAGATTATTGTTGTAAGTGTCCTATAGCGTCAATATACATAAGAAAGTAACGGAAAAAAGAAATTTTGTTTAGGTTGTAAATATGTTTGCACAAGCTTTAGGTTATCTTAATTATATTGGACCTTTCTTCCAATCAATTTTGGAAGCTCAAGGTGCAGCAGTATCCGTATTTCGACTTATTGATGAAGTAAAATACATTAAATACTATAGAGATTAAATCTTGATAATAATATTTTCTAATTTATTTTATCATATAGGTACATGATGAAAATTTGAATGAAAGAGAAATATTAGAAGAGAATATATCTGATGAAAAATCAATTTCTAATATTAATGGTGATATTGAATTTGACAATATTAGTTTTTCTTATCCATCGAGAGAAAATGCAACAGCTTTGAATAATCTTAAATTAATTGCTCGTGCTAATCAAACAACTGCTCTTGTAGGTTCAAGTGGTTGTGGTAAATCTTTTTTTCTAGAATAAACATAATATTTTAATATTTAAATTCATTGATAGGAAAAAGTACATGTGTATCACTTCTTCTTCGCTATTATGAACCTTCTTCCGGCATAATTATGATTGATGGTCAATCAATTACAAATTATAAAATCAAACAATTTCGTCAAAATATTGGAGTTGTTAGTCAAGAACCTGTAAATTTCTTTTATTTTCTTTTTTAGTCTCTATTAAATGATATTTATATTAAAATAGATTTTATTTGGAATAAGTATTTATGAAAATATTCGTTTTGGTAAAATGAATGCAACACGTACAGAGATTGAACAAGCAGCAGAACAAGCTAATGCGCATAAATTCATTATGAAATTACCAAAGGTTTGTCTTTATCTATATGTATATGTTAATATTTTTTTTTGCAGAAATATGAAACACTTGTTGGTGAACGTGGTATACAATTGAGTGGTGGTGAAAAACAACGTATTGCATTAGCTCGTGCGCTTGTCAAACAACCCAACATTCTTTTGTTAGATGAAGCAACAAGTGCTCTTGATAATGTTAGTGAAAAAATTGTTCAAGAAGCACTTGATCGAGCATGCAAAAGTAAGAATTACTTAATTACTATTGATTATATTAT